ATTGGATATCATTTGCAATGTTACGTATACGAATAGTTACGAATATCAGGAATCGAGATGTGTATCGGTGATCGAAAATTGAAAAAAAAAAACCACCTTCATTGCGTGGTTTTTCTGGTCGTGATTTGACAAGGATCGAGTCCGACACAGGTGGAGAGAGAGGTGCACGTAATTACTACGCGTAACTCGTGCCGGGGGTGTAAAACAATATGAAATATAGAGATACTGCGTGCAACTATGCGCTTTCTATTTGATCATTCTGCATTCGCAGTAGCGTCTCGATTACCGGAAAATTATTGCGACACGGCCGCGCGTCGCCAGCGATCTTGCAATAGGTGAGAGTAAAATGCTCTTTTCACGTGGCCGATCTAAACGAGCATGGCGATAGATAACATTGCACACTTGCGAGTGCGCAGATATATTTATGACTGCATTATAATTGCAACCCGCTGAACTTTATATTTCTAACATAAATAAACATGATTCGAACGTATATATGAATTTAAAATCAGCGCTGTCCCATTCGCCAAAGGAACCTTCGTTCGATTTTCCGCTAATTCGAGCGTGAAATTTATATCGACCATGATCATTGTGAGTCGTTTTACACGTGCGATCTGATATCGCCCGTAAAGAAAAGTGTTAGATTCAAATCATTACTCCGATATACTTTAGCAAACGTTTGCTTGGATCGAATCAATACATTACTTGGACAATTTACTTGGGTCAAGGAAAGCATTATTTGATCCACGTAAGAATTCGCTAAGGAGTGTCGGAGTAATTATATATCTGGCGCTTTTTTCTCTGTGCAGTATCATGATGGTTCGATCTTAATTGCAATTGAAACAGGAAAGAAAGAAAAGAAGAACAGATTATCAGGCTATGAAGTGAATTACGGGATACGTGCCAAATGTAACGTCAATAGGCTGATTCGAGCGTAACTTGCCAAGCTTAAGAAAGATAACGATTCTTTTTACGAAATAGCGATTCTTTTTAGGAAATAGCGAGTGGTATTTATCTTAAATAATCGCCGTTGTTTTGCGTTGTCGTTTATACGCGAAATATAAGAACTGTGAATGCTGAGATAATTTCTAACTCCGCCAAATATCGCGCGGCGTCGATATCCTTCCTGCGAGCCCGAGAATCAATATTTCCTATTTATGCTTTCGCAATACACATCGATCATATCTTTGGCATGATTTATAAGAAAATTAATGGTTAACAATAGCACGTTATCACTGCGCGGAGAATGCAGTCGTAAAAGAAAAGCGCGTCACTGCATAGGCTGCGGGTATTACATAAAAAAAGAAAATGAAGTAAATTCATGGAAAAAGGATTAACTCAATCAGTTGTAATGTATATCATTGGCTAAATTAGTTGTAATATGTGAAGCATTTAATGCTTTAATGACGTGAGTAATTTCCATCGTTACGGCAGCAAACCGTTTATTATTGTAGACATTAACTACAGCAAACTCTTTTTACTGCTGCAGCAAAAAAGCTGATTATTACAGAAATTAAAATTGCTCGCACTATTGAAATTTTAGATGTTCATATGTTACAGCTGATGCAGCTGACCGTTTTTTCCGTGCGTGATTATATTTTTTCGCGTGTTAAATCAAATAATATTCCCAAGCATGGAATAAACATTTTAAATTGGTCGAATAAATAAAAGAAATATTATTTGAACTGTAGTTTTTTTCAATGTAATAAAAATATTTTCCATAAAAAAATGTTTACACGCGCGCTGACAACGCACTGCGTACAGCGTACGCAGATGCACCAGTCTATTTATAGTAACCCTACTTTTGCAATAATAATTCCTGAATATGCAACATATATTCATTACGTATGTCATAAATCGTTAATATATCAATAAATGCATGCCGCGGCATTAGACGACGACGTTATCAGGATAATTAATTAATCTCTATCTGTTTAATAAATCAAAGATTCGATTACTCATTCCGATTATTCATTTCATGGTATTTCTTGACATTTAATCGGCCATTTTGTCGGCAAACATAGTCAATGTAGTCGGAGAAACGAGACTAGTATACGGAAAATATTAATAGTCGTAACATTTCACTCGGTGTACCATCATTACCGCATCAGCGCTTAATGAGAAATTTTCCGGTTAAACTTTTACTTCCTGTTTCTCGAAGCTGACGAGATGAGAGCGTTCTTGCACGCTTAAAGTGCGTTATGATAAAAATATCAAAGTCTCTTTTCCCGTTATCTATTAATAGAGAATAGCAAGAATATCTTCGATACATTTTCATATATAATATATTTTATGTTAAAAGAAAAAATATATATATATGTAGTAACGTAATATCTTCGTCGTAAACGAAGAAGAAAATGCTGTAACAGTAAATTTAAAGAAGCGGGAAGCGAGAACCTTTTAGAGATCAGGTATGGCGCAAAAACGGATTAATCTATATGCAACATTTAAAGCAGGAAGTCATGTGAACAAACAAACTATGTACTCGCGCACATTCAATTTGATGACGGTTACGGCGTATTAAAGAACTCGAGTGATTCAAGCGGAAGATCAGGGTTAACAGTTCTCCGGGTCTGTGACGATAATGGAAATGGAATGAGAAGCTTTCGCTTTTAATCTAAAAGATCCAAGGCTTTTCATCAAGCCAATCTTCTCGGATCGGAATCAAGCGTACGGTAGTATGATAAAACAATAACGGAATCTGCACAACGCGAGTATGTTGTGTAATAAAATTTCATCCTTCAAGGATTCGCGCGCCTGTCTACATTGGAGGCATGCGACGCATGACATACTCTTCTATTGTAAAATGAGCAAGCGGACGTACTCGTTGATATTAAAAAAATATTTTCGAAGTAAAGTTGGGAATTATTCTGAAATATATTATTAAATATATTGATAATAATTCTATTGTATAGTTACATATTTTTCCCTCAATCGTAGAAGATTGTTCTTTTATAATTTGCACTTGTAGAGTCAGTAACGATATTTATACAGTGGAGGAGTTAAAGTGGCAGTTTCTATGTGTAGGCGCGTTTCGTTATGTTATTAGCATTAGTTAGATTTTTCGATACGCTGGATATTTTCTCGAGCTGTTTCTTGCAAATTTTTGAGTAACAAGTTAGCGGTAAATAATTGATTAAATAATATTATTTCAAATGTGGGAATTCTGAACTCTTTAAGTCACTTTGGAACTTATGCTAATCTTTATCCTCTGTCACTGAACCACGCAAAAAAGATTAAGATTTGCTTATTCTACGAATCGACGTATCTGAGTTTACCCGTCATTCGACCGACCAATATCTGAACTTTTGCTGTGAAATTTAATTTTATAGAATATAGTTAAAGCTGATTGACCTTTTCTCTGTTTTCTTATTTGTTTGTTTAAGATGGTCGTAAAAAAATCAAGGGATCCTCGTAATAAAAAATATATAAGAACAAAGATAACATACAAGGATATATATATATATATATACTCTACTACATATATATATATTCAATTCCTTAAAAAAATAATTATTTGAAAACAATATGTGATAATATCAAAAAACTACAATATATTTTAAATAAATATTGTTTTTGCAAATATTGCTGCTTTGCACCCATGCATCTAAATTTTAATTCTACGCCTTCAACCGGATTTTAATGCCTAAAAACGGTATGATATTTCGCTCTTGTTACTTTGCACTTTTGTATTTCCATAATAACATCGATTGTTACACGAATAAATAAATCGACGTCGCCTCGAACACGTGACAGCAAAAAGTTGATCATAGTTTCAACACGTGCTTGCTTGATTCATCGAAATAAACGATGAAAAGTACCATTTCTCATCCTCGTGGCGAATTATTGAACGGACCGCGCGCAGCATACAGGCATCGAGAAATCTGCGCACTGACTTTACTTTTGACCCCACCATTGTAATTCCAAGCGCAGTAATGCCCGCCGCGAGAGTTACAATGCCGCGTTTCATCGATCAAAGAAGAGCAGGGGATTTCTCAGCGATTGTAAATTACGAGACGTCTGTGAAAGTTATATAAGTTATATCAACGATCGCGTAACCCTTATTTAACCTCGATCCGAGACTGACGTTGAGGTCAAGACGGTGAACTCGTAAATTCATTAAGATAGAAAAATACACTGATAAAACCGATAGTTGTCTTAGTATAGAATCATTCGTCAAACGACGAACCAAATTTCACAATTATCTCGCCGAACTAGATATACTGCTCAACAATTATACGTTTGATTTCTAATATCCTCTTTGACAAATCTGAAATCGGCCGTTTTTCGTGAAAACGGCCGGTTTTCGATTCAACAAAGTGCATCAGATATCAACATATGAACCTGATATCCGATTTTTGAAAGATTAATTTTCGAATGCATAAGATGTTAATATTTCGTTTGCAGTTGTTTATAATAATAATTTTATTCATAGTTTATTTGTGTTAAAATCGGTCCTTGTTAAAATGTTTGTGCTCATTTTTGACACAATATTTGTACTACTTTTTAAGACATTCATCTTGTGTTAAATTAACACGAAAATTTGAGTAAACCGTTTGGGAGATTAATGAAACATATTAAATTTAACATACATCTTTTTACTATGCACGTGTAAACTCTGCGAAGATGGATAAAATAAACTATGCAAGAGCAAACGAGTAACCGGAAGTAAATTAAATATCCGCAACACGAATTACTATACTATTCAGCGAAACAAACGCCGATTTTGTTTTCCTCTTGAAATCGTTACACACGTAGGATCACTTCGTCACGTAGAACAACGACGTGTAAAGAACAACGACGGTACGAAGTGCACGCGGGTAGGAATGCAAGGCAAGAAATAACATCATGAGAACAAGGTTATTAGACATATGGCTGATTAGAGAGGTGATCTTCTTGTTCACCGGTTGTAGGTTTTCTTGAGACCGCATTGCTGTAATTTCAGCGAACTCGCCGATTATGTACTCACGGTTAACGCCCTTTTCCCTTCGTGCTCACAGATATTTTCATGCTGATGATTCTGGGCTTGTTCGGCCTTGTGTCCGGTTGCTTCGTGCTGCTATGTCGGCCATATGACGCCTTGTTGGGGTGGAAGATAATCTTCGGTGAGGGCGGCGAGATCTTCGAGGCGTGGCGGAAACCCGAAGTCGATCTCTATCTGAAGGTCTACTTGTTTAACGTGACGAATCGTGACGAATACTTGGACGGCCGCGACAGCAAGCTGCGATTCCAGGAAACTGGTCCTTACGTGTACAAGTAAGTAAGATGAGTAATACAGTTACCTGTATCCCTTTTCTTCTTAGTTTTCATCTGCATCACGAACGGATACGCGCGAAATCACGCTTCATTACTATTTTTTACAGTAGCGTTATAAATGCAACTTTGCCATTTATTTTACCGGAAATCTCGATAATTCCTTGACGAGAATAATGTCAGCCAAACGACCATTCCGGTTTACCTCAAACGGATCCTTTTACTTGATAAACTTTTGAAATGTAATTACACAACGCGATTTTTTTAGAAGACTCGCTTAAGCTGATATTAATAGTCGCTGCTTGAAACTTGCGTCGAAAGTGAAATACTCATATTTAAATTTAGAATTAAGCCTAAATTTCTCGACTGAATCGTTATTACAGTGTGACATCGCGTGTCTTCTAAAATTCAACTGAAAAACTCAGATCTAACTCTAAGTACGAATCTGACCCAAACACGTATGTCTAAAAGACACGATTTTACGTCTTAAGACGTCTTAATGTTATCTGACAGTGAGCAGCTGATATGAGACAAATTTCAAGTAACGACTATTAATGCGGATCTTAGAAGGACGAAGTCTCATCGATGCAACGGCTCCTCGCGGAAATCTCACAAATGACTCTCTTAAAAAAACGCGTTCTCAAAATGACGTGTAACGTTTAATTACGCGCCGTTAATACGTTGCCGAGGCGAACGTACATTGCGTACGAAAAAAGTAGACCGAGCAAAGAATTAATCGGTCGGGAGTACTGGAAAACCTCAGTAGAATTATATGTTTTTTACTCGGCGAGGAAAGAAATGACTGCAAGAAACCGAAGCCACGCGTGGCGCGGCGTGGCGGCTCGTTAACGACGTTTCAAGAATATAAGCCATCACGCAAATAATAATTATTTGATGTGGGATCTAGTTTGCTCAAGTAACCGCGCTCCGAAACATGTATGTACACTTGACCTTCAGATACGCGTACAGGTTTCTCCCTGCCTTCGGCTCCTTCCCTCCGCCGTTGCCGGCGACCTCCGCGCGATCGCATTCTTTATTCTCGCCGACCGCTGTTTCCGTACGATGCATATTTGCAGCGGATTTCGTTGCATTCGCGCGCGCGACCGAACCGCTTAAGGTTGTTCTTGAAATCCTTTCAAGCCCTCATTTATAATAAGTCGGTAAACCCAAAGATAAGATTCATCTCAACGAGTGCGCACTTACATCTCGGAAATCAACAGCGAAGAAAACGGGTACAGAAAACAGGTTAATATTCTCTCTCTCTCTCTCTCTCTCTCTCTCTGTAAACTCGAAATAATATTTAATTTTTAAATGAGACACACAAAAAATATTAAGCTACTTAATTCACATAAATATAACACATGAAAACGTCATGAAAAAAGAAGAAAGATAAAATATCAGATCTTCGTATTAATTTTATATTGAAATAATCAAAAATTGGTAACACACGCATGAGAATTTTAATATTTAGACACAAGATTTTTTACTGTGTGTATGTTTTATTTTGGACATACTTCTTGCCGACGATACTTCTCGCTTCGTACGATATCAGCGAATATTCGACTGCGCGTGTTCGATTGTATTGACATAAATTTATGTTTCGAATGTAAGAAACAGTTGCCTAAAAATAGGCACAGTGCTAATCACGCGTAATAACGAACGCTAACATTGTATTTGGTTCCAGAGAATTGATGGAGCACGCGAATACAGTCTTCAATGACAACGGTACGCTAACAACAATACCGAAACATCCACTGAAATATATCCCGGAAATGAGCAATGGTTTAGAGGAGGAACGTTTAATACTGCCGAACATAGCGTTGCTCGTAAGTAACAAAAACGTAAATATGTAGAAACTGCGAGACGAGACAGAATTTCTTTCCGAAATCGTCTTCTCAAACACACGTGTTGCATACGTTTGTCGCTGATTAACATCGATTAACGAGCAGGTTCGTGCTACGACACTCGATTGTGAAGTTTAATAAACATGTCAATTTGAAAGGGAAAACTTGTCGAATAATTGAATCGGTACGATTCAGAGGACTTCTTGGTGTTGCAAGGATTCTATTTTTATTTCTACCTTCTTCTGTGCATTTTGCTGTGCGAATCACGCACGTCGAGCTTGTAATTCGATATATTAAAACTTATATAATTATCACAATGTAGCATATAATATATAATATTATTATATATTATATAATATTATATAATATATCGTCACCGTAATACCGGCTTGCCATGACATCGTTTTAGGTTATATGCATCATTCCAAAAATTAAAAATCGCTTTTGCTATGATACGGAAAATGAATCATGTTGTTATGAACACGCGTGAAATACAGCGTGACGTTCAACATGTTGCGCGAGATGAATCGCGCTGCGAATATGTAAAATGGGGCGAAATAAATGGCGCCGCTGACTTTGCAAGGCTAACGCCATGTGTTCACTTTCCACCAATTTTCTGGCAGCCGGCTTAAGGGAGCTCCCTTAAGTGGCTCGTATCTCATCGTGGTTCAAGAAGAAACTCTAGAACTTTCAGAATCGCGAAGAAAAAACATAAGAGGATACGTATAACGTATCGCGCGGTTTCGAATGACACATAGTTTGCCATCGACATATTAATTGCACGGAGATGACATTAATTGCAGGTGAGATCAGAAAATTAAGGAAAAACCACCGGTTATTTAGTCAATTTAATTGGCTGGCAATTGGCCGGCAATTAAGTCACATTATTTCCCGGTAATGAGAAATCGAATGAAATTTTCCGTATACTTGGCATGCAAAAATTCCTTCGAGAGAAACATCTGATTACCGAGAATGGTGTAATTAACTGAAGGACACGTATCGCTTTGTTATTTGCGACACGTTCACGCATTCACATTATAAATCTGACTCACACCATTGTTGTTAAGACTACCGAAATTTTATCGAACGTGATTTGATACGACGTGGTGCGACATGACGACGGATTAAAACGTGATGATGGAAGTAACGGGGATTTTGAATTTAACTGATATGAATCGCATCGATAACAATTTTTGTAACAAGGAGAGAGGAATATACCACGCGAATATTATCTAACGACACAGAACGCTCGCGTGACAATTAAGCACGACTGAATATGCGCTAATTAATGCAGACCTAGAAACTGAGAAAAAACATTCGTATTATTGCGCTTATTATCTATCTGCATAAACGAGAAGCGATTAAAAGTGTTGTATAAATATCGACCGCTTGATATCGTATCAATATCATAGGTGCTTTAATGAATAATTTTCTAAAGGAAATTTTCTAAAGGAAACAAGATATTACAGAAATAATGACATAATAACAGGTATAAAAAATTAAAATGCAGCAAACGGTTTAATAATATGGAAAAGTATTTTAATTGCAACACGTTGCGAGACTTACCGATGGTTTATTACATAGTAATTTAACATAACAGTTTTTTACGTCATCTGATTCTGTGACGATAGTAAGCCGCGCTGATGCAATGTTCATTACAATGCTAATGTTCGTTGAAAAGCCCTGCGACATTTTTATGGTATTTATTCCATTTCCGATGCAAATCAATATCTCGTAAATTTCAACAACAAACTACTAATTATGATCAATTTTGTAACACTCCTCATGATTCTCCTTCGAGTTATTCGCGCATCTATTCCCGGAGAGATTTGGGAGTTTTTATTGTGCGCAAACTTTTTGGCGACACATTCCATTTTTACATTTTTTAATACAAATTACATCCCCTCGAAAAGAAAAAGGCATGCTTTTGTGACAGTTAATTTTACCCGTTGGGAAATCGTATCTAATGTTTTCTTGTTAAATGATACTTTGATATTTTATTCTAAATCTGAACGTAAAACTCAAAATATGCATTTTAAAGACCTATTCTGTTAAGTCACAGTAACGAGTTTTTTTTATAGCTTATCTGACTTTTAAATTATATTACAATTATATTACGTGTAAGATTATTATTATTATAATTGCAATTATATTAATTGTACGCGTAGATCGTATACATGGATGTTGTGATACTATTAATGTAATACTGGTATCGATATTTTTCTTTCAATATCGGATACGTTTTGTATCGATATTTTCTTCCGATTACGACATGATGACGGATTAAAACGTGATGGTGAAAACTCGAGTATCGACTCGTATCCACATCATTATTACTTTGTTTCAATATCTTTTCTTTTATTTTTAATCAGTCGATCTTTAAGATATCATATGTATTTGCTTCATGAAAATTAGCGTAACATGCAATGTATGTTTTAAACGTAACTTTTCTCATGATTTCCATTACGTTAACTTTACAAGTGCAATTTGAGACACATGTATCTTTTACCCCGTTTTATCGACTCTATTGACTGTACAAATGATTTGGTAGATCCGATTAATGATATCTTACGTGTAACTTAATAAGAGATGGTAGTATCATAGCGCCGATTACTGGCGAACATCATGTGTTAAATGCTCAACTTGGAATCCTACAGAAGTGCCATTGCGAAATCGGGTCAAAATGAGGTGAATGTAATAAGTGTATTTGCGTCTTGCACGAACATAAATCCACCTGTTACGGCAGCCGTATGTTGATTGCATTGAAATAATGAAATATCACGGCTACGAACAAATAGGATACAAGCGTTGAATTCAACTCGCTATTCATTCAGTGCGCGTAAAGCGCAACGAACCGTGATTCGCGAGGAATACGCTTGGGTAACAAACGCTCGGTGGGCGCAAATCGTAAAGCCGTCAGCCGAGAATAATAGATACGCCATAAACGCCGTCTTATCGCCGTTTATTTGGAAAAGGTCGCACGAGAGGGAAAGCGTTTGTAGCATGCAGTCAATAACCGAAGTATACTTGCGTTCCTGATGATGCTACCGGCAACGTGGTATATTTAACTATTAAAAATCACTACTAAATAAAATTCCGTGATTACCGACTGCTACGTTCATCCGATATAAACATGACTAAACGGCTAGCCTATTCTTCGTTAAGGCGAATGTCTCAATTAATCCCAATATAGTTCTACTAATAATACTAATAGTATGTAACAGTGTTCATCTGTTCCAGAATGTTCACTTTTGACGATATTTAACGATGTTTTGCTGTAATGTACGCACAATACATTGTTTTGACGATATTTAACGATGTTTTGCTGTAATGTACGCACAATACGTTGTTTTGGCATTTGCGATGATAATGCAAGTCCAGGTAAAATAGCAAATGACAATGACGTGAAAGTGACGTCAGAATGATGAAAGAATTACCATGAAATAAATGTTATAGTCATTTCCTCGTCATCTACTTTTATAGTCAGAAACTCACCTTTCGTCGACCAGAAATAAAAAGGACCGCGACGTCCTCCCAATCACGCGTGCGAAATTCACCTTCGGCCAATTGAAATTACGAGAGATACGTAACGGCTTCCGAATTGTCACGTCGCTATCATTACGGTTGCGAAGTATCGGTACGCTCGACGCTCGTACCCCACCCAATCACGAGGAGTTACGTATATCTATTAATATATGCATGTTTATAAAAGAAAAAAATCCGCGCAGTGCAGCGCAGCAACAAATATGGGACGTGATATTTTCGCGAGAGTCTGAGCTTCCATTCGATAACTTCGTGTTTATTATATCTTTTCACACACCGAGAGTGTATTCTTCAAATACACGCGCGTGCGCATGTAGAAATAACGAATCTGCCTCGATCGCGTTATCTGTATGAGGATGATAACTATAAAAATGCAATTCTATGAAAAATAGATAATATTATTATTCCATAAATACATGTGTACATATCTTTATAACGTGTGTAGATAATAATAATAAGTTATAAATTTAAAATCACGTTTATGAATTAGCCGTCCAAATTTCGGCGGAAAGAACTCTCGTAATGGTTGGTCTTTAGTATAACATCTCGTCGATGTTACTACAAATCATTACTGTTATCAGCAAAGTCGATGACCCTGGCAATCGCACGGAAAAGAAACACGTGAAGTTTCATTCTTCGTTTTGTTAAAGGGTACCGATATACCGCCATTAATTTGATAATGAGTGACATTGACAAAATAGCACTGATGATACGGACACATTCATTCTTTCCTTTATTGAAGGGTACCAAGATACATTATATTTACATGTGATAAAGAGCTTCAATGTAATAACAAAATGATGATAAACTAATATCCAACAATACTGTTTCTTACATAAGCATCCGATAATTTCTTTCTATTTTGTGTTCGAAAAATGTTCTCACACATGTTCGACGATGTCTGACACAATTATACAATTCGACTCGTTATCATATTAAATTTATTACTTAACACGCTACAGATATTATTATTAATGGCAACATTATAACTAGTTTATAATATAAATTTATAGATTCATATCATCCGTTAATAATTATTACATAAATATCATATAATAAATTAATCTAATGTATAGCAGTAATGTATAGCAGTTTTGAATAAATCGAATTCTCGGGATACAAGGACAGTTTACGAGATCATTTTTTTTCTTCGAAATTTTGTTAAACAATTGACTTTTGTATAACACTATGCGATCGTGCATACACGACATTTGCCGATAATGCGACAATAATTTGTGACGATTAAAACGACAAGCGGGGTCAACAACTTGACCCCTCGTATGTCAAAGCATAGCACGCGAATAATGTATCTACAAAGTGCAGTTGTAATTGCGTAATATTCATGATATGTTATTATAATGAAATCAATTATGTTTCAATTGGAGATATTAGGTCGCCAGTCTGTCTTGTACTCGGCCGGATAATAACACGCTGTTCGCTTATCGTTACAGAGCATCGCGAATGTGATGAGGGACACCTCATACATAACCCAATGGGGACTGAACATGTTCATACGGCAAACAGATCCTCACCCTCTGGTAGAAATGACTGCGCGCGAATTCATGTTCGGCTACGAATCGACTCTGACTACCATCGGCAATCAGCTGATGCCCTCCTGGATTAAATTCGACAAGCTGGGATTAATCGACAGAGTAAGGAACGGTTTTTCGCAAGCTATACGACTTTTCTCATTCACGAGCAGTATTTTTCAATGCGAAATAATCAATAATTCTGAAATTTTTGTTTAATATCTCTATATTAGTACTTAATATATCAGTGTTTTTTAATCAAAATCCTGAATGTGGTTTAGAAACGATTAAAAATAGAAATTTAAAATATGACATTATATTTATATATATATTAGGGCAATTAGAAGTAAATTGACCACTTGGAAGCTGAGATATTCGCAACTAAAGATAACACTTTTTATACGTATTCCTTGAGGTTATATATAAATATAATGTCATATTTATTTCTAATCAATTTACTTCTAATTGCCCTGATAACTAAGTCATATTTAAATCTAAATATAATGCAAGTTTCAACGAATTCTTAAGAAACTCATTTTATGTTACTACTATCGTAATTAGATAGGAAGATCGATAATTATAATCTATCAACGAGCCTACGTAAAGAGGAGGTCCGAATAAAAAAGGTTGTGTTTGTTGTGTTTCACAGATGTACGATTTCGACGGTGACTTCGAAACTATTTACACAGGAGAGACCGATGGTCGAATGTCGGGATTGATCGAAAAGTACAACGGAGATGTTAATCTACCGCAGTGGAGCGGCAAATGCGGGAACATAAACGGCGCGAGCGACGGCACCAAGTTCCCAAGTTACATTCAGCCGAACGACACGGTCCTCTTCTTTCGCAAGAGCCTTTGTCGGAGCGAACGGATGGTAATTTCAATTATTGCAATCCACTTCGGGCGAATCGTTCATTCGTCTACCCAGGAATTTTCAACCGAGTCATGCGATTCATCCGCAAACAGTTCATCCGTTATTAACTTTCCACTCGCACCGAATATTTGCAAATTGTCCTTACTAAAGATGTAGCCGTTGCGAACAATTTCAATTCTTATTCTTTCTAATTACACACACACACACACATGCACACAGATGTATACATGTATATATAACATCCCTTAATTTTTCTAAAGGTACGAGTCGGTGAAAAGATGGTGAATGGCTTATACTCGTACCACTACGCATTCATGGAGAACGAATTGGATAATGGAGCAGTGAATCCAGAAAATAAATGTTTCTGTCGTGAAGGCAATTGTTTGAAACCCGGCTTAATCGACGTGACCGATTGTTACTATGGTAAGATATCTACACGTTAATTAATCAATACTCAATTTTGCCAGAAGTCATCAAGAATATATAACAGTCGATCTGTGCAAGTTTCTTTCTTGTGAAATGAATAAATAACGATAATTATTGAATAATAATAATCATTACGGCTGTAACTCGAAAAGAATCTTCTGGAAACAGGAACTTCATCTCTGGTTTATGTAAAGTGCTTTATGAAAATGCCCCGATTATACTTACACGTATAAAATTAAACTGTTCGATCCGTATCGTAAAGACGATAACTCTCAGGTCGCGTTTACCTGTCGCAGCTACTTGATTTCTTCTAGCTATAGCTATGGGTATAGGTACACATAATCTTATACAAACTTATTATTATTTTGTCTTCACAATGCGAACTCTTGCCATACTTGACTAGTTTTATAACGTGAACGATAGTCGTTTTGTATCTCAACGAGTTTTTTTAGATTTATGAATAAGACGGGTCGCAGTCTATTCTAGTTGTACAAGCTAGGTCTCTAAATGTCCAAATAAAAAGATACACATTGGTTTCCGAAAGAATCCCGACAAAAATTGGTCCCAGTAAAAAAGTGCACTGCGACGTGAACTTCATTTTCTGACCCGCTGGAGGTATGAGATGACCCCAGATGACTATTCCCGGATTAGAGCCGTTCAATAATAAATCGCGAAAAATGCAATCAAACATAAGCAGTAAGCTAATTGACCTGTCATAATTGATGATTCTTGAACTGTGAGAATCCGATTGGTCAATTAGCTTGCCGCTTACGCTATTATAGAGTAGTTTTTAAACGATTGATTAGCAATTTAGAATCATTTGTTTCCGCAAATAGAACGTTCAGCATAAATCCCAATCGGCAGAGTTAGCGACTTTGACGTAACACAGTGATTTTCCCAATCGCAATGCATTATGCATTTAACGATAAATTTTGCGATAACGAGTGGCCGGGGACGAACGCGTCGATTAATGCACGTTCGAGACGAGATAGCAGCATTATGTCACATCGGTTACGTCTTAACGATCGAACAGCTGCACCTACGGAATAACAATACGGATCAACATGTTCTACGTAAGAGTCACGATCGTGTTAACGGCTCACACTTTGCGTACCGTAATCTGATGATTCGGTTACCTCGATTTTACCGAAGGGTGTCCCTAAAACTGAGAGAGAGACTTGCTCTTACTGAACACCATCACTCCGATTTTTCTCGCAGGATTCCCCATCGCCTTGTCGTATCCACACTTCTACCAAGCTGACCCGTCGATGTTGGAGGCCCTCGAAGGTCTGGAGCCTAAGAAGGAGCTACACGAATCCTATTGCTTCATCCAACCCACGTCTGGATTGCCCACGACCCTGGCGTTTCGCTTCCAAATCAACATGGTGCTGCAGGACATCAGGTACATGTCCAGAGTGGCAAAACTCGCCGACTTCACGCTACCACTGTTGTGGTTCGAAATCGTAAGTATATTGTAAACATCGTGCTATACTCGCACTGACATCGGACATCCGTAATAAAAGAGCCTCTCTTATCAGGGGATGAACGAGCTGCCGGAGGCTTTGAACACGCGTTTCTGGTTTTATCTGTCCGTCGCACCTGCCATGCAGGAAGTGTTGATGTATCTGTCCTTCTTTTCCGGCGCGGTGCTCCTCGTTTGGAGCATCGTGAAGATACTGTCCTATCAGCAGAAGGAATCGTCGATGACCTGGCAGGAGGAGGAAATGTCGAGAAGAAGGCAACGGGCCCACTGCGACAAAGAAAACGACCGGAAGGCGCGAGAAATGGATTCGTACAGTTCGTTGCTGGTGTCCGGTGATACGGCAATGATAGTGTGATGATTCAAAGCCCGAGGACGCACCCAAACCTTACCTCTTTGAGTTTCCTAGCCATGTGCTCGCCGAGCAAGCGAGACACATTTATGATGACGCTCTCTCGAAAGCGAAGAAAACTACGTACGAATTCGACAAACGGGATCACGGTGCATTAAACGATCCTGTGCAAAATGAAAAGGCGGATTAGAATCGCAGAAATAGCCGAAATAGAATCGCAGAAATAGGTTCTCATCCATAGCGTGCTACACTGGCACTTTCAACTTGCACTCGACTGCATTTCGTTGATGCTGTCAGTGTGAACGAGAAATGTTATGCAGGATACAGTATTGTATATTATAATACTATATCATTGTAAAATGTATCATATTATTATATTGTCACGTTTTTCTCTCTCTCTCTCTTTCTTTCTGTACCCAACTAGCAAAGTCAAATGACGCTTTTTTCAACAACGTCCAAGTGATGTCTCTAACGTCAATCGGAGGTCATGAAAAGACGTCACTTTGCTACTTGGATAAGTTGCTATCTGAATGCTCAACTATTAAGTGATAAGGCATTAAAGTAAAATATCACGGGAGATTTGATCGATTTAATCAAATGCTTTTTTCATTTAGTCGAATTTTTGGTACTTTTGATTTTGTAAATCAAAACGAGCTTCTGTCCAAAGAGGTGACGGACGAAACTTTTTATATTGAAATCACAGCGCATGGTTTTCATATCAATTAAAATGTATAGTTCTGATAGTTGTTGTTTATCTCCGTTCGTTAGTACAAATGAGACTGTTATGTTGCCCATCACAATTCGCCCATACGAGATTTCACAACATAGCAATCTATTCGTATCATTGCAGTCACACACGTAGTCTGTTCTAAAACATGAGACCCGGCGATAGAAAAATTTGGAAGGAAAATTAAGTAAATTTTTTGCGACTAACGCTTCGTGTGATGTAACGTCCAAGTACGTTCCTCTATATTCCATTTGTACTCATCCTTTCGTTCTTGCGAGTTGAATCGAATTTTAAATGAAAATGAAACCAGAGCGATTATTAAATAATTGTCGGGAGTAAATTTGTCCTAAAGAGATGAAACGTATCAATCTTGAAATAGTTGCAAGCATTTCTTATATAAATATAATACGAGGGTATATATCTTATATATGCGTGTTCAATATTGACAACGTTTGAAGTGCCAACGTGTTATTAATGAGAGAACGTCAATTGCTATACATTAAATCACATGTACCAGTGTTATCACTCCGTTTGCTCTCTTTATCATTTATTCCGGAAACGGTATTTCAAATCTGTCGAACAAAAATAATGACAACAAATGTATATTTAAAATAGAGATATATACAAATGCGCATTCATCGTGCCGACTTTATCAAGCTCAAATCTTAGGTAGGAAACATCAAATTTACGATCTCATCGTTTCTATAGCATATTTAGAAATATGGACAATTTCCAAAATTATCGATAATAGGAATCGTCACGTTTTGTGAAACAACGGAAAAAATTGCACTTCATTCGATATAAAATAATGCGTTTGTCATCTACATTGCTTGCGTTTATCTCGCATGGTTTCACTGTAAATATGTAAATAATAGATAAGTAAACAACTGCAGAAGCAATGTAGACACAGATAAGTAGCCGTTGATCTTTCGTAAAAATGAACATGATCTCTCTTCGGAAATCTGCTATTTTTTTTTACGAAAAGAAAAAAAAGGTGACGGTAACATTACAATGTTACAATTTCTCACTCAACAATGTAACTGTTATGTACAACGCATGTTATGTTGTACTTGTATTGTTGAGTGAGAAATTATAACACTGATGTAATATTGGTTGGTGTTTATCGAAGCAGATCATAAATGAACATGAGAATAACTCATAGGTCAATGACATATTTTCTTCGGAATCTCTATATCTTGCCTTATTTATACATATATTGTACGATATTATTTAAGACACTCTTACATTAAATATATGCATTTAATATTAATTTTAATTATATACACACACATATATATGCACGCGTGCGCATACGTACACAACTTTATAAATTAGTGTTAAACAGTACTATGTAATAACGTGATTACATCTACAGTGCATAATACAATACTTAAAAGTACGGGTTGATTTTTTATATCGTCTGTATATATATTACATAAATGTAGGGAGGTTTTTTATATTTGCAAAATGTGATAATGTAACGGACTTTATAAGAAATCTGTTGCACATTGTAAGAAAGTCAATATAATAAAAAAAGAAGAAACATATAACGATATGAGGTGAATTTTATTTTTTCCCGAACGCGATGACTTAACGATCGTACAGTGTTAAATTATAAACAACTACAGCTGTAAGCACACTAAATACAACATATTACAAGTAGATAATCGCATAGATATATTTTTATTCACAATTGAACTCATTGGTCATCTTAAACGGTGTTGTCTTCCCGTTGTTCGGCAGGCGAAATCAGGTGAGGAAACATAGATGGAATTTGAAAGAAGATAATTCCTCAAGTTTGGCTCATGAATTTTACGACAAATTCATGTATTCCTTGCTTATCTAAAAATAGAACGTTATTCGTATCTCAAGAAATTTGTTCCGACACGTAACAACAATGTTAATTAATATAACATCAGTTAATATTCCATGTAACAATAATATAAAATGAACGTAATGTCTTAAGAGACCACCTCACCGAAAATCTTCTGCCTCAACATATTGTAATGCATTTCTCGGCAAGTTTTCGAGAACGTCGCTCTATCTGGAATACGCTCCGACGGGTAGTATTTCATCAGATATGACTTCAAGATTTCCGCTGTCTTGAACTGCATAGCCTTATCTGCCGGCACTGTTAGTCTATTATTACTTTTGCCGGCGTGATGCTTTGAACGAACCGATTGAGTAGACTCCTTGTCCCTCTTCGATTCTCGATTAGCCTTTGAGGTTTCACCGTGCTGCCTCACTTTAATCGTCTCTTTTTGCGTCTCGTTATCTCGATTTGTGACGTCGATGTCAGAGATTGTATGTGCGTCGTTCCTAACAGCTTCTTTGTCATTCTTATCGCCCTCGAACTTCTTATCGATATTTTGATTCGACGAACAATCGACATTGATCGACGCATCACTTTTATCGTACTCCCTATGTCCGACTCTTTTTTTCTCTACCGGCTTCACGTCGTCCTCTTGACGCTCGACAGATTCACGGCTCCTTTTATTTTTACCCTTGCCTTCGACAGTCCTGTCTTTATTTTTAACGAACTCTGCGATAATATCAACGGTTCTCGATTCTGTTTTAGGAGAAATATTCGAGCTCTCGTTCGTAGTCTTCAAGGATGATCGCGTCGATGCCAAAATTAGCTCGTAAACGGATTTACCGGTCTTTTTCACGCTCTTGTCAGTCTTACTTCGGCGAGTTTTTAACTTGGAGGAACTTGCACCTGGTTTGGACAAACGTGCGTTGCTCTCGTGTGTTGTTCGCGCACAAACGAAACCATTCGACGTCTGCATCCGTGGTATAATGTCCTCGGGTGTACTTTTCCGTGCACCACTGAAATCGTCGTTGATAGATGTTTGATTTTTTGTCTGAGTTACTTCAACATCGTTAACCAGCGATTTCTTAGATCGAATAGTTTCACTTTCATCTGACGTTTGCGACCTTCCTTCATTTCTAATTTCTAGTGCAGTTTTGAAAGTAGTGGCAAAAGTCTTTTTATTAATTTCACTTGACAGGTGACCGTTATCGTTAGATCCGATTTCGGCTGTATCTGATTCTTGTGTGATATCGGATATATCGTCAATGTTAGAATCATTAAGCTCTATGTTATGCGACCCTGTGTCATTATAATCACGTATCGCTTCATGTACAGTATTGCTATTAGTGCACTTTCGTACCGACGAAATCTGTATACGAGTACGTAAAATAAAAGTATTTTGCATAAAATTTCAAAAATATATGATAAATAAGCATAATCCTTCGCGATAATTTGTAAATGTAAAGCGGCAACTAATTTCTCTTTAATAATTTACATATTTTCGCTCAAAATATTCCAACTTTGGGAGATAACTTTTTCGGCAAAATTATTCATATCTGAAGCCGTCTATGTTTGTAGAAAGTAATACGTACCGACTTAGACATATCAAATTTATATTTATTTGGTACTTTTGTACTAGAAAATATTTTATATTCCAAATTACTGGCTATATCATGCATGTCTTCCTCGTGAAGCTGTTTGTTATTTTTCGAATACGAATGTTGATAATTTTCGAACAACGTCGCCTTTAATTCATTGTAAAGGTGTTCCCGCATCTGAAAGTAATTAGTGACCAGGCGAAGATAACGAGATGTTATAAAGATATTATAATTTCAATATATTATTGCATAACATTTTATACCTGAACGGTTAAACCCTTTATTTTCCTATCCGTACTATTGGCTGCACGGACGCGCGCCTTTTTTGCATTCTGGATGTTCTGACGCTTGATCTATAAAAAAAAATAAATATAGAAACTGAAATTAAAAAGGACCTAGCATATAGCAAACTCACTTCGTCCTCCTTAGATGTACCACGTCGAAGAGCGAATTGCTGCATAATAAGTTCCCTATTCTCTCGTTTTGCAGCCGCTACTAATTTCTCCCTCGATTCTTCCGGTTCGATAAATACATTGCTACGATTATAATCGGCATCATTTATGACGGTAATTTTGAAAATAAATAAAAATGCTTATTTTTTTTTAATTAAATAATTTTTCACACACACCCCTCATCTCCATCGTCGCAGACTCTCCGTATTACGCCGCCCAAGTTGCCTCGGGGCTTTCGAGATATCGTCTGACACATTTCAAACTGTGAAATCCTTGCTTGCACTTCATCCTTGTTTTTGCATACGTCGCATCTATTCTTACATAGCGGTGGAGAATCCCCGAAGTACTTGGAAAACACTGCGTGCCGACATCTAATAGTGGACATGAATATAATTATTGTCTCGATATGCAGAGGAAGAATGTTTTGGACTGTCCGATTCCCATTGAACGTACTTTGCCTCCAGACAATACGCAACGCTCTTTTCAAAATTATTCCACTTTATCTTGACGAGCTCAGTCTTCTTTCCTGCGATTTCCTCCTTGATGAGAAACGAGATGGGCCCGAACTCTTCGTTGCTAAAGTAAACCCTGCAAAACGCCGAGTTGCCATCTCTGCCGGCTCTTCCTGATTCTTGATAATACGCCGCGATATTTTGAGGTACCGTCCAGTGAACCACAAATCTGCAGAATGTACAAATCACGAACATATTTTCATTATACAGCCAGTATCGTTCACCGATGATACCGTAATTAGAATCAAGCCATGCTTTACCTGACGGATCCCTTGTCAACGCCCATCCCAAAACTGCATGTTGCCGCGATAACAGGTACTTCGCCTGCCGTCCACTTATTCTGCACTTCATTACGTTCTTGAGCTTTCAAGCCTGTATTCAAACGTCAAAATAAAATAGCGTAGTTTTTACAAGTTTAATCGTCAATTTAAGTGTCGACATGCTGCAAAAATCATACGTACTACCGTGATACGCGAGCGTGGGAATACCAGCAAGGCTGAGTTTGTGCGCAACAATTTCAGTCGCTTCCTTTTTTCTACAGTAAATAATACCGCAACTCCTCTTATGCTGAAAATATCATGTTCGTGGAAAATCCACACCGTTCTGAATTATTCAAAGAGGATAACATAGCGGTGATACAATTTTACTCACCATAGGAACAGAATTATCCGAAGGACCAAGCGCATCCAAAATAAAGCTTTTCAAATGCATGAACGGTTTATCTAATGTTTCTAGGAAACAAACGTCGTAAAATAAATTAGGACGAAACACTGGCTGGGAAAATATTAAGGCATCTTTCATATGCAGACTTTGAAGAATATCGTCTTTTACCTGAAATAACGTCAAAAATATATAACAATTCATGAAGCTGTAAAGTTTAATATCCTCCGAGATACCTGCTTTGCAGCAGTCGCTGTCAATGCAATTACAGGTACATCAGGACACAATTTCTTGAACACTCCTAACTGTCTATAACTTGGTCGAAAATCGTGGCCCCATTCACTTAAACAATGAGCTTCGTCAATAACAAAATAAGAGAGTGCTTTAGCCTTTCTCAATTGGATTATAGTTTCCTGTAAATTAAAATTATCTATGTTACAATTAAACAATTTGCGCTGGAGCTTTGATACCTTGCCTAAAAATTAATATTTAAAATTGTAATAAAATTATAGCTTACATTGTGCGTGCAGAGGTAAACAAAATATAAATTGTAAAAGTAGGTTGAATTGATCATATACCAATATATTGAAGGAAGATGACAGAGGTATATGAATATTTATTTGTACAGTTCATTTACCAGGCATGTGATATCTGAATAAATCACTACAGCATACCTGAAAATGTTGTTGGGCTCCCATTTCAGGAGTGACATACAACAATTTGATTTTAGGAGAACCTGACATAAGATCCTTCATAATCATGCTTCTCTCTTTACTCAATGTAGTGGAATTCAAGGAACACGCATTTATCTTCTTGTCCACTAAAAAATCAATTTGGTTCTAAAAGAAAATTAAATTAGTATATAAATACATAAAAATATAAAAGATAAAAGATTTCTTCCGCTGTATACCTATAATATATTGAAAAATACCTTCATAAGGGCCAGAAGTGGGGAAAAAACAATTGCAACTTTGTGTTCTTTCATCGCTGCAGGTAGTTGAAAGCAGAGGGACTTGCCAGAACCAGTCGGCATACACACAAATACATCTTGTTTCCCTAAAATTGTGCCAAAAAATGCTTAATCTCCTTCTTACACATTTAATAAGTATCTCTTAGAAAAATCGCATGTGTTTAGAAAATAATAAATGTTGAGCGCAGAAACCTTTGTAAGTTGCAGTAGTAGCTTGCTTCTGAATGTCACTTTTGAAATCATCGTGGCCAAATTTTAACTTTAAAACATTCCGTAACATCCTCGTTTGGTGTTGCGTTTCTTTTTTTTTTACCAATACAAGAGATAATCCGAAAATGTCACGTTTGTATCTTATCTCTCGAGTGACATTTGGAATAAGCGCGAATACTGTCCGGTGAAAACACGCGTCTCACGTATGGATTCCGTTACAATTCAAAGTTAGGTTAGGTTAGAGAATATCGAACTCGATACTTTTTCGAGTGTCGTAGGGGCAAGTTTCAATTAACGTTCGCAACGACGCGAGCATCAGCATGAAAAGGCACCTTTGAGTGGAAAGTGCAGTTAAAAAGAACAGACCACTATCAGAGAGAAAACCGAGAAAAAAAAACTGAAAACAAACTAAAATGGATGCAGAGGGCGTATTAAACGATCACGCAAAAACGGTATCAATTATTAGCTATTGATCCGAGAGTAAACTGCTAGCGAAAATCTGTGACGTATTAATGACGTCATATCTGCCGCGAAAATGTTTCGAAGAAAATAGTGGATCACGCCCGAAAACTAAGGTCCATTTCCACGCAGCGAATGCTTCGAAGCGCTGTAAAGACCAATAATATTCTTTCCTTGAGAACTGCGAAAGCGTTTGCAGTACTAAGCGGACCTTGGTCTTGGTTCAATAATGAACATCTCGAGTCTTTACTCCGGAACGATCGTCGTAAAAATGGCGACGCTCATGAAAGCGGTGCAGGTTTCTAAGAGCGTGAATAATATAACGAAACTCTTTACAAATTTATCTTTGACATCGAGCATTGTCGCTTCCCCTAAACATGCGTTTCTTCGCCGGTTTGTACTGTTACATTCTCAAATATGTCTTATTTGTACTTTATGTTATTATCTGCATGTATGTGTGTGATCAATGCACGTTGCGATCGTGGTGTTAATTTCCGAAGGTGTTTTCTCAATTTAAAAATGTTTCGAAAGAGAACTCGTCATATCTAAGATATATAAGTGTACAATTCCTTATACGTAAAATTCGTCTGCGAAATAACTTCTTTTTGTTTTGATGTGTGAAGTTACAGGTCGTATCAATACTTCATGTCTTTTACATTATGGTGTTATGAATATAATGTTAAATGTATGTAAGAATACAGATTGGAGTTTTGAGTGAGACCTGATATTACTTTTTCATAAATCCAGTATACCGGCTCTCCATTGTGCGTTCATACATATCACATCAGAACGCCGTGACTTAATGGAATTTTTTGAGAACCCGGAACATTGGGGGAAAATGGAGATAAAAGTTGGTCGGTCCTGGAGGATGGAGGAATTGAGACTGAAAAGCAACTCGGATCTTCATAAGTTGTGGTGAGAAATTTATACATTGTGTATTATTTGTACATTTGTAGATCTGGTTTCTCTACATATTTCCTAGATTAATATATTTGAACAAATATAGGTTTGTGTTAATGAAGGAACGTAATATGCTCATGACTATGGAAGAAGCTTGTAAAGAAGCTTATGAGATTTTCCCAAATCCTGAACGTTTAGATAAGGTCCAAAACAGTATGAAGAATTTGGAGTCGGTGGTCCGTGAGAGAAATAGAGCTTACCATTTGCTTGAGACTGGCTACACAGGAGAGAGACCTGGGAAAATGGTGTACAATCCTCTAGGTAATCCTCTAAGATCTATGTAATTTATTTGAAACATGAAATTTTTTCAATCAAAACATCTGTCCATTGTATGTATCATGCAATGTAGATATGAGAAATTTCTTTCCTCACAGAAAATTTCAGAGGTATAAATAAAGAAAAAAAACTACATAAACTTATTTATATTATTATCTTTTAGGTCTGAAATTTTATTACCGAATGAGTCAACATTCAATTCCAAAATTCATGAATACAAGATGGCGCAAGACGTATCAGTTTGGCTATGGTGGATATGCAGTTCGGAAGTTCCTGCGACTATATAGAGAAAAGTTGTGGAATGAGAAACGCAAAGCAAAGAAGTTTGTAGCAACTATTGTTTCTACCTATTTATTTAATACACATTTCAATCTATTTACGTTCATAGGAAAAGGCTATCTCTTTGTCTTCTTTCAGCCGTGAGAGAAATCGTGCAACAACGTTACTTAGAAGATTCCCGAATATGGATCTTGAAGCTTTAAAAGAACAATATCCAAATATTGATTTGAAAATGGTGAAGCAATTAAACAAATCAATAGGCCATGTAGCACCTCAATAAATGCATGTTAATATGTTAATAGAATAGAAAATTGTCCAAATATATATGCGACAAATCTGATCATTATACATAAATAGACTTATGTATTCCGCTGCATTTTTTTTTTAATATAATCATTCGAGTCTACATCCCCACTTGAAATAAATTCTAAATAAATTGTGCATATATAGACTGAATATGCAATATTGTAATTGTAATATAGGTCACACATTTAAGAAAAGTAATATTATCTAATACCGCTGTTAGCCGAGTTACATATAACAATGGATTTTAGAATATTAAGGAGATTATCATGTTGCAAGCCAGATGTTTTCTCTTTATATGTAAAATATATAAAATTAGAAAATAATAAGGAAATATATGGTGCAAAAGATAATGAATAAACGTTCGTTGTTATCAAGTATCGTTATAATTGTCGAAAAATCTACTGAATTCAGTTTCGATTAAAGTGCTTTATTTTCTCTTCTTCTTTTTTTTAAAGATACAGTACATTTCAAAGTAATGGTGAAAAATTGGTAAAACAAAAATCGTCTGAGACTTATTTGACCAAATTCTTTATATAGTTTTTATTAATTTCCTATTATAATTTTTGCTATTGTGTAGGGATACGGAAGTATTGTGTGAAAGGTATACGGATGTAACATTTAGAACATATATTTTCACCTGTAGAAAATTTAACCCCGTGTACTTTTCACACAGTAAGAACGAACATATAAAACCAATTTTGTATTCCCGCGCGCACGCGCGCAATATTCGCTCCTTTAATTTACATAAATTTCATGTAGAAATCTCATGAACTTAATAACAAGTGACATTTATTACTTAACAGCATATCACAATCACTTACAGCTACATGAAATAATGCATAAGTTAAATATTTATTCACAAGTATATATGGAATGCATCTGTTCATGTAGCTTTGGTAACGAAAAAGATTTATAACTTAAGGAAAGATAACTCTTCACATGTTAATGTCATGCCGCAAATAAAATGCATTTCCATGTATAAATTTTCTTGATATTGTAATCTCATTACCATACGACAGGCTGCGTATCTAGAATTCAAAATTAATTTTCAAGTTCCGCTTCCAAGCACAAATCATTATGATCATTTTAATGTGCCCCCTGCAAATAAAATTCGCTGCTTCATTTCGCATTAAGCGTTAAATATCAAATGATTTTAGTACAACGCGCGATACAACCAAACATCGGTTCAAGCTGCATGAGCTTTAATATAAAATTACACAAATTAAACAAAATTACTTTATATAACACGTATAATACAACTATATACCTTATACTTCGCATTCATACCTGTACACTAAAAAAAAAAAATCGATCCGTATGGAGTTAAAATTTTATAATCTTGAGATGATACATCAAGATTATGCGTAGAAAATTACTCTCTGAAAATAAAGTCGATTGAATTATAATTATCGGTTGGGAATGTATTAAATCATATAATTTCACAAGCGATTTTCACGAAGCTACTATTCCTCGTGTCGAAGCTATTCTATAAGTGTCTCTGAATCTTATATGGTATCATCTTCGACGATAAATAACTACTTTTTAATATCAATAGTGCGTATTCAAATGCATACTGGTTCGTTTCCTCAGTATATGTGAGTATATAGACATTTATATATAGTAATCAATACAATGTTGTCTCACAATTATCCGTTATATTACACATTTCCTTGCGTTATTATAAATTAATAGCTTATTATGGTGGCTTATGCTACAGGAAAGATGTTGCATCATTTTGTGTGATCCTTCCTCAAATAGTCACCTATACGATTTTTACGGTAACTTGTATCTTATGCAAGATCTCTAATGATCGATCTCTCAACATCGCAATGTAGCGAGAATGCTGCGCATATATTTGTACCTTGAAATTAGAAAAAAAAAAAAAGAAAAGAAATTACTCTATTATGCCATAACTCAGGTGCCGTATGTCTGAATAAAGATATATCTGTTTGTTCCTACCTATAAGCCACAAGGTAACACCGACTGTTTCTAGTTCCAAGTGACAGATATATGGCACCTAATTCGAAACGGAGGCAAACGGAATCTGGAGTACGTTGCGTAAGCGGTATATAACTTTGACACGCGACACATCGGTGTACCGATTTTCCGGGCACAATTACCTGAATACTCGCGTTTGTCGCCATTTCATGGCAATATGATAAAATAATTTCTTAGATAACGCTGTTATATATTGTCTACTGGTACATCTTTTTCCTTTTTACTCTAAAGCCGGTGGCAACAAGTACCGCCAGGCGTGCTCCAGCTCTCTGCTGGCGTCCGAGCAACGTCGTTGCAGCTTGTCCTCTGGTGGAAGCGTCGTCATAGGAAACTCGCCCTGCAAAAGACGAAAAACCGCGTTTTAGTACCTGCGTATCGTGTTGCGAAATCGTCATTTGCGAGATGTAGTAGCGCGTGTAAACGTCATACCAAGTTTACATCCGCCCACAATGTCTCCAGAATCTCTCTGAAAGCACAGAGCTCCGTATAATCCGTAAAATATATGACCCAATCACCGCTATTCTCGTGCACCTCTCGACACGCGAATTCCTGAAAACACGTGTTTAATCAGTAACGAAGCATGGAACTGATGGTAGAGAAGAAGATAATATTACAGCTCCACGTTTCACCGGCACGTCGATGCGTACTCACCAATATGCACCATGACTGCTGCACTAACGGCACTCGGAACGCCGTTAAATCCTTGATAGAGGCGCATGAGAGAGTTTGACCCCTTTGTGTGCCGGGATGGACCTCCTTCATCGCCACCAAGTGTCCCGTGGTCGTGATGAGGCTGCAAGGCAACGGTTCTCGCTTTTCCGAGCTGTCGAAGAGACCCGACGCGCTTTGAACGAAGCTTTGCAGCCACTCGGAAGCTACGTATTCGTCCGGAGCAGCAAACTGGTACGACTTGTTGGGTTTCAGCAGTATCTCGAAGGTGTGCGGCCGATGAGAGTTGGGGATTCTTCTACAGCCCTGACACAAGCCACCTTTCAAGGGTATGGCGCGTTTAGGAAGCCGCTGATTCGAATCTGTGAACATGTAAACCACGCCGCCCTTCAGAACGAAGTAGCCGGCCTCCCAGGGATTTGTGGGCGCGTTCGGATGTAAATGCTGATAAGTGTGCGGCCGGAACATCAGGTCGCCCTCTTTCGTTGGCCCGCACGGCGTGCTAGGCGGAGACATGTGCTCGTCTTCCATGTAAATAAGGCTGTAGTGTTCGATTTTCTCGTCCTGCAACGATAGATAATAGATAAAACCAGAAATAGACGCATGGCGATCGCACATAGATAACAATACATAAACCAATCCACATTTGTCGATAAGGTTGACACAGTTTTGTTTCTCGTTAAATTTGCAGCCGATCGTTACTAGCGAAAGTCTCGTAGCAGTAAAGTCGAGTCTATAAATTGCGAGATATTATAAGAGCGAAGGACTATGCCGTGAATTGCTCTTCACAGGCGAAAATACATAATGAAACTCGTCGCTTTTCAACACATAATGAACAGAAGAATGGATTTGTGTTAAAGAAACTATATGACTCCGTTAAAAGAAAGAAAAATAACGTTAACATCAAAACGACCCTGGGAAAACACCACTTAGGTGCAATTCAAGGTCACAATATTATGTCCCACTCGAAACTCTACAACTTTTGTATGAAGCATCTTCTCCTACGATCAAAAGGTTTTGGGAAGAGGGAGAATAAGTTAAAATGGGACATCCTGTATATTTTATGATAAATTACATTTAAATAACGAAAAGATATGAGACAGTCTAAACGGAAAACACTGACATGAAGCGTATACGATCCACGCAGCAGCGAACGTATTAATGCTTCAATAATTTAGGATACTACAATAATAACACAAAAAAAAATTAGATCTACGTACCGGATACACTGCTGTGTCAGAGAGAATCGAATTCTTCAGAATGTGCATATCCTCGTAATTCAGTTCTTTGACAGCGGGAAGCCTCGGTTTCGACGGCGATCGTCTCATTGCCATTTCCAAGTGACCAATTAATTCTGAGGTAGTTTGCGAGCTGCCGGTAGAGAAGAGATACTGCATTTCGCAGTCGGCGTTGGATATTAAAATATTTTGTGCATTCGGTCCGACCTAAAATAACACATATACATGTATCTCACTTATCGAGAGGCACCTGGAAATACGATCGATTACTTCAAACCTCCGTACCATTATGACATCCAATTCGTTGTAAGGAATAACGAACTGGTTGCTATAAGAATGATCGATCTTGGAGCCGGTCAAGTACAACGTCTTATCCGTCAACAGCGCGATCATCGGTTTGCTCTCGCCGTTTGTCATGTAAGAGCTCCTAACTTTGTACACCTTGTACAACTCTTCCGTTTTATCACGGTAAATGTGTCTCTTGAAAAGTTCGCGCAACTTTAGGCTGATTTTCTCGCCGCTGAACTCCTGCTTCTCGGCTGCCACGTTCTCCTGGATCTCCTTGTCGAGATTGTCGTTGAAATCCTTGAAGGAATCGTAGCTGGTCTTGACCCCCTTGATGTACAGAGTGTTCGCCTTCGGCGGCTTCTTATTCTTCTTGATCTCGAACTTCCTCTCCGTGATCGACTTCAGGAATCTGCTTAGCAGCGACGTCTTCGACGGCGCCTGACGCAGAGGCGGCGCCAGGAGTTTGCTGCTATTCTCACCCGACAATATCGCCGTCATGTTGCGTTTCTTCAGCGGCGAAGCCAGATGCCGGCTGTTCTTGCGCTCCTCCAGGTCGGACGTTGCCACGCTATCCACGTCCGACCAGTCGCTGTTAGAGTTGGCGTACTTCTTCGGGTTTGCAGTTTGCGGCATCTCCACCTTGCTCGGTGGATCCTCAACGATATTACCGCACGCCTTCTCGACGATGTAGGCTTCCTGGGCCTCGTTCTCCTCCAGCTCTATCTCCATCTTGGGCCTCAGGCTCTTGCCTGGATCCTCCTGACCCTCTGGCGCCCCGCGCTCCGACAGCGATAAGCCACAGTTGCACCTGCAATTGCGTTGGCACGGCACCTCGATGCAGAACTTCGACGGCGTTTGCTTGTCGGTGTCGCTGTCGAACGTGCTGGACGACGACGAGAAGGAATAACAGTCCGAATGTGCGTTCCTTCCCGCATTCGCGTTCTTCTGAGTGTAGGGCGAGTCACCGTGCGCGCACCAACTGTACCTGCCTTTCTGAGCGTCCCTCTTCAGAACGGAATTCGGGGACAAGAAACTCATGGAGAAATCGGCGTAGCTCTCGTCGTCCTCCAGCTTCATCGTTTTCAGTATGTCCTCGTGGAAGCTGACCCGCTTCTTACTTTCACCGCGCTTCTTCTTACGCTGCCTACGTTGCACTATGGCTTCCGAGCTGGAGGAAGACAGAATGCTGGCGTCGGTCATGTTAATAGTGTTCAAAATGCCGTACGGAGTGTCCATGTTATCACAATCGGAGATAGTCATACTCAGTTCCAACAAATTCGTATCGTTATTGATTAGATAGGAATTGCGAGGATCTATATTTTTTTTAAAGCTGTAAGCGCTGTCGCTGTAATAAGTGCTTCTCTTATTAAGATCCTTCGTGCCATTATCGATTTTGCCCATTTTATCCAGCTTGGTCTCGTCGAGACTTTTGCTGTAGAAGTCGTAGCCTTTGATAGTCTCCAAACTGGAGCAATTTGTTTCGTTATCGTCGAGCTTACGCGTTACGTTCTGGTTGACTATGTCGTTCTTCGTCATCATGACGGTCTGAAATTTCGTGATCGCCGGCGACTGAGTCGGTGTCTTGCCATCCTCGCTGGAGTCGCTGGATCCGAAATTCTTATTGTCTTCCATGCAGTTGTTGATAATCGTCTTGTACCTATTGTTTCGGTACTTGGGTATGTCGTCCATCGAGAAATCCTCCTGCAAAAATTCACACCATGTGTATGTTCCCAAGTAATCGGACATCTCATTACCCGGATATCCGATTATCTTCGATTCGACTCCGACTCTGGACCTTTGGGCCCGGATTTGAAACATTGCACATTTATCCGCTATCCAAATAATCGGGTATTCGGATAATGTTGGGTCCGAATATTGGATAGAGATCTTTCCGCACGATCTTCGTTCGATCTCTACCTCTTTGTAACTGCTACCGTCGGTCTCATTCGCGAGGTCCATATCGCTGTCGAACGCAACGCCGCTGTCCCCCGGAGAAGCTAGGCTCGATGAAACACTAGAAGACCTTAGATGCAACGATAAGACTGTTCCCGACGGGTTTACGCTCATAGGCCTCTGTGGCATGTAATTGCAGATGTCCAAATACGTCACATCCTGCATACACATAATAGTCATCAGTTTTATTCCAGCCGATATCTGTATCATTAATTATCGGTCGCGCACGTTGACATAACGCGCGATATCATGTAACTTGAAAATAAGCAAAAGTTTCACCAAGCCAATAAGCCTGCGGGAAATTTTCCATGAACAAACAGCAGACCGTGCAGTGTAGAATGCGTGCGAGATAAAGTGTACGGAAATCAGTTGCCACATAACTGTTTTACAATCAACGTTTTGCGACTAACGCATAAGTTATCAACCGCGCGTTAATACGACGGATCTTGCAAACTTTAAGCTGATCCTATAACGGAAATATAAAAGTAATTTCTTCTTCCCTCTCGGTAACGGTGCTTCCAGCAAAATTTTCCGTGAATAAAAGCAAACCGTGCGATATGCACGCGCGAAATAAAGTATGCGATCGAAAATAAAGCGATAACCCGTTTGCCCCGTGCATACATAACTGCTGCAACTTTATATAAAAAGATCTATCGGCATACACGACGCGTGTTATATGTGATTGATATTATTCATTAGCGAGATAAGTGTAACCAGGGGGTGATATTGATATCTCGCTCTCCATGCGAGGGAAAATAAAATAAGAGTGATGCGCCAAACATACGGCGACGAGAAAGTTAATCTTCGCTCCCCCCTCTCTCTCTCTCTCTCTCTCTCTCTCAAACTTGTTGCCTTACGAAACTGCTCCATGAACTCTTTATATCCCGTTATTTACTGCATTTACTGAACGTACCAATTGCAATGTGAAGGACACGTTTTCCAGACCGGCGAGAAGATTGACCAGTTGATTGGTCTTATCAGCATCTCTTACAAGCGCATGTGGAAAGTACTGCTTTTTTAATGTCTTGGTGTCTCGCAGTAAACAGGCCAGATAGCTCTCAAAGCTGCCCTCGCTCAGAGTGTGATAGAGCCATGCTCGACCTGCACATTTCATTGCGTATATAATATGCATTAACATAACACTATTACAAATAAGAACACTGAACTATATTTGCACTTGGATACAGCCTATATGCTATTTCTGATTTCGCTTAAATGACGTCCAATACTTTAACCGGATGATACACTGCCGATTGAGATATATTTAAATGTTCACATTATCATGAAAGTTTTCCCAAATCAAATAGTTCAAAATTACGTAATTATTCCTTATTATGTATAACTTTAAGTCATTCCAATTATTAATTAATTGTTAATTATTAAGTGTGAAATGCAAATTATGACTTTAGATTTGTTTCTCAATAAAAATCAGCAGTTCTGTGATAAGATACAAAGTGCGCAATTGCATCCGTTAAATACACATTTTCAGTCAAATGCGAATTGAACAGTAAAAAAACACAAGAGGGGGATTACGTTGTTTGTACGATCAACGTTTGTGCGTACCTTTTCCAATAGACGTCAGTACACTCTGCAATGCATGAATGACCACGACAGTATCTTGGTGGCTAAGTTCTCTAGCAGTGCCCCAGTACCCATGTCTCTCTACACGCAATCCGTGACGCAGCGCCCGGTCCAGCCAGTATACCAACCAGGAGTCACCATCCAGGACTACGGTGCCATATAGACTTTGAGCGTAGACCTGTTCAAAGTACATACACGTTATCTTCATTTATCATCTATTTATTGCATTAAGAATTGTCTTCCTACCAAATGGAACAGATTATAAGAGAACAAGGACCTTAGCGGAATAGCTGACTTATCGGTTTACAACAATGTTTTATGCCTTGAATCTGTCTTTGAGTAACGTACAATAATTGCCCTGTGTCTTAAACTAGAAAGCAGTTCTGTTTGTGATTAATGACAAACCATATGTGTAATATAAGAAAAGTAAATAAACAAAAAAATAAACAAAATGATAATTTAGATCGAGATTTAGAGCATGAAACGTGTCTTAAAATTATAAGTCAACCATTATGTATATAAAGGCATTCATTCAGTGACAATTGCGCAACTGAAATACGTGCTAAACGTTGGAAACACGAGAAATATACGTGTATAAAAATATAAATGCGAGAATGCGGAAAAGTAGTCGCTTGCACTTTGATAAGTTCAAGCGCTGCTTTGATCGAGCGCTAGTTCCAATTGGCGAGAGAACACTGAAAATATGGAAAGGTGGACAATAAGGAGAAAAAAAAACAACGTATAACTTACGCACGCTTCTACCTTTCACTTGGAGCATTTATCTCACGTCTGCTGGCACGAGCAAAACAAAACCCCCCCAGACGCTACGACTGACGCTAATTTTAAATACGTTCTCGTCAGTCACGGTAAAAATGAAACGATCAAGAAGAACGGCGGAAGAGAGGAAACGAAGCACGCGAAGCGCACAAAGCGCGAGACGGAGAATGGGCCTTTTATCAGCTGTTCCGTGCAACGCACATCCGCGCAACTGTCAAACGTCGATGCGAACTGACAGCTAGGTAGCTTCGATCACGGCGAAAGTGCAGAATGACTCACTTCTGGGCAGCAGCGTCGTCGTCGTCGTCGTTGCACGCACGAAGAAGCGAGAGAAACGTAAGCCTCGCGACGCGTTTAAAGGGACAACCGTGCGACGTCGAATCTGTGGCGTACTCGCGCACTGCGATCATTCGTGTGCGTGTGTACGTGTGTGCATGAACGGTTCGATTTCGAGCCGCTCGCTGCGTCGCGATTAATTCGCGAGTAGGGTTTTCGCGACGTCACACGAAACACGTATATATGTATATATATGTATATATATATATATATATGTATACGTGTATATGTATAGTTCTCACGATATGTATCCTAGTTCCTTTCTAAACGCATGCCATGCAGCGGAAGACGAGGAAACGTCGCACCGCACGGCCAGGAGGCAATTCCTCGGCTTGTCGTCGTCGAAGCAACGAGATCCGCGCTTCCTCCGCGTGCAGGCAGGCAGGAAACGAGTGCAACCCGAGAGGCGGAACGTGCGAGACGGATGTGAACACGGAATTTTGCAGTAGAGGATTTCGTCGTCGCGCGGAACATGCTCGAGTCTCTCTCTTTAATTCGATCCCGAGCCAGGTTCCCTCTCGTTCGGATGTACAGCATGCACGTATCGATCTCGCAAGCGTGCGATCTCGAATGACCACTTCGGAATGCGTTTCGCACTCCGGGGAGACTC